TTCAGGGACACACAAAGCCTTCTCCCTCACCGTGGGCTGGGGGGTGGAACACCTGTTTCCAACCACTGAGAGGCTGGCCAAATGCTTCCTGACATTGTGGCTAAGGGAAAAGCCATTTGTGGGCTCTGAGAACATTTTCTTTCTTTGACTGAAAGCATACTTGGTCAGGTCAAGCACACAACTGTAGGATTTAAAGCTCTGTACACCCCATACGTTTTTATGTTCATAAGGGAATGGCCTCTGCTTGATTGGGTGTGCTCTGTTTGCCTTTCCACCACCTGACCGTCTGTCCTCAGTCCCACCTGGGGTCCCAGGTTCATCCCAATCCCCATCCTCATTCCAGGGTCGAGCCATTGCTGTGAAATCAAACCAAATGTCTGCCTCCTCTTCATCCAGATCCTGCTCATCATCCCATTCATCTTCCTCCTCGTTCTCCACCTCGTTCCCCTCATTTCTTCCCATGGTCAGTTTGTACATGCAGTAACAGGCACCAGCCCCAATCATCAGTCCAGCTGCCATCCAACCCATTTCCCGGGCCCGACCCATGCTTATAGGTGTGTGAGCCTTGTAGCCAGAAAGAAGAGGGTCTTTCTTCACCTGATTGAAGAGAACGTTCAAGGGATGTGTGAATAATGGTGCAGGCTAGTAGTCTTCAGCCTATCCTAGGCTTCTGTGATGCTTGTAGTGAATCTAAGAGTGAGATAAACAGCATTAGAGCTCTCAGCTGTGACTGGGTTCGTACCTGCCCAGACAGGTAGGCGTTCAAATTCTCTCTGAGAAACTTGAATTATTAGGGAATTATCTCATTGTTCTTTTCTGTCTTCCCATATCTACCCTCAAGATTTACTTTATGCTTCCAGGATTCTCAGAGATAGACAGTAGATGAGGCTCTTACTTTAACAGGTAAGCAGGTGAAAGGAACAGCTAACCCTCATGTAGGCTTCTTTACCACCCGCCTCCTTTCTCTCCTCCTCCTCCCCACCCCCAAAACACTGCATGTTTTCTAACTAACCTCAACAAAAACCAAGTGAATTCGTTTTCCTTCTCGTGTCTTCTGCTGTATTCTCCTCCCGGAGAAAGGTGGACCGAGCCTGCCAGAAGGACAACCGTAAAGCGATGTAAGACAGCAATGGAAAACTGAAAGTGTAGTTGGACAGATATAACTACATCGATTGGTGCTTTTCTGAATTTGGGTTTTTTGAGTAAGAATATTACTTCTCACACCCTCCCGACTTTGCTAACGAGGGCCTCCCCGCCCCCTCCTCGTCCGCCATTTCCCCAGCAAAGGCCGCCACACCCCTTTCCCTGCACCGAAATGGGAGGGGGTGTGGAGAAAGAAGGGGCCAGGAGAGGGCGACTCGGACCTGACCCGCAAAGATCCCAGCCCCCCTCATCTCCTACCTTTAGGTTCAGGATGAATCCCACCTTCAAACCTGCAGCAAGGTTCCAACCAAGGCGGTTTGCTTCTCTAGCCTAGGCTCCAGCGGAGACCTATAACAGACAGGGGACCGAGGGCACGGAGTGCTTGGTGCACTGACCAGCACCCGGGACGTAGTGCCTGGATCGTGAGTCCTTTCTTTGCTTGGATTTTGTGCAACCGCCGTTCACCCACCTCGCCCCAACCTGAAGCCTGCCACTTCTCCCTATTAAAAGAATCGAGGGCGGGATGCGGGTCCAGGGATAGGTATTTAAAAAGTAGGTGAGAAAGGAACATAGCCCATATTCGCCAAACTTGGATGCGAGGTGCTCTTGGCCCTCTCCCACCCCCATCGCCTTCCAAGCAGCTTCCACCGACCTGCACGGTCCCAGCGAGTTTCCTTCTCCTTCACGCGCCTGCAGAGTAATAGGGGGTTGGTACCCAGTCAGAGGCGACTAACAGGACTTCGGCTCTAGGCGGCTCTTGGTCACGTGACAGCCACGTCACCAGTGAGCTCTAGCCCCCAATTTCCACTCCCACAAGCAGTGCGGCAGGAGTCAGTAGGCTCCGAACCTCCCCCAATACTTGGGGCCCTGTTAGTCTTTTTCACTATAACAATACCAGAAACCAGAAAGAAGTTACGGTTTCTCTATAATGTTTGAGTTTGACTTTTCTGAATCACTGTGCATTCACACTTTCTTCTTGGGGGAAATGTCTCATCTATTCGTTGGTGTTCAAACTCCTGCATCCCTTTCTTTAACATCCATGCCTCTCTATTTTCAGTCTCTGCAGCAGAAATGGAGGGAGGGGTCAGAAAAGGAAACACAGATAGAGAAATTTGTATTAACACTTTTAATCCAATTACGTTTTATTTCATCTTTCCTAGCTGATGGACTATTATTTTGTAACCATAAATCAAAATAAAGCTATTTCCACTTGGGTATATAAACAAATTCCAATGTTTAAAAATACATGTTTAAAAAAAAGTAATTGATTTTCCAGTTACTAGCAAGACCTCACTGATTTGACAAAGTTAATTTGTCCAACGTTGAAAAAAATCTTAAAATTTTCTTCTAAATAGCAGCTTTAAATAACATTTTACAGTTTTGAAACATATCCTCACAAACAAACCAGCATACTTTCAATATGATTGATGAAACATAAATAGATCTGTAGTGAGGTCAATGTTCAACTTTTGATCATTTTAAATGAGCGAGGCATTTATTTGCCCCTTTCTTTAGCCAGAGTGAACTCACAGGTGTCAGATGATTGAGATCTTGTACAAGGTTCAATCATGACTTTCAGACTCACCCAAAAGGTGGCTTTTATGCAGTCACCAACTTAGGTTTTAGACTTTACAAATTAGCAACGTCACAGATTGCCTGGTTTTCATTCAAAGGAATTTAAATTCCGTTCTGGAGTTCCATGAGGCAGCCTATAAACCACCCTGAACTCGAATAATTAGAGAACTCTCTGGTATCCCATTGATGAGAGTTACAGTTAGTAGGTGGAGATTTCATATCCCCATTAAGACTAGTGAGGTCTCAGTTCTGCCATTCATGTACTATGTTACCATATGAATAATGAGTCCTCAGCATTTTCTATTGACAATGGGAATGAGGGACTTTGGATGACTGTAGATTATAAAGACACTGGTGACAACAGTTTCTTTTCCCTCTCATAGCTAGAAGAACAAAGTACAGGATCCCAAGTAGTCAGTCCCCAGGAGAAAAAGACTTTTTTCATAACTTCATTGTATCTCCCTTACAAACCCCTCAGAACTCAGGGACAAAATATGCAGGAGTAAGTCCTCAGGCACCACCTGTTCACTGCTGGGAGTCATACTCTAAATATAGACCCCCAGGCTGCCTCTTTCTTAGAATGTTGAAATTTGACACGGCAGCCAGAAGCCTTCCCTGTGAAGGGCCTCTGTGTGGAGGAGGCCCTTGCAGGAGATGAGCCAGGGAGTCTATAATGCCTTGTTGGCAAATATCAGAAATTGAGAGCATATCATTGCTCTGTGGTATTCCTAAGCATGAGACTCATAGACTCACATACCAATATCATATCCCATCTTCTCTATCATCTCTTCTACTTCCTTTGCTTTGCCCACCGTGCTCTTATGCTGTCTTTTTATGATTATTTAGTGTTCTCAGGTAACTGAATTCCGTCTCTGAAAGCTTATGAACAGAATACTCAGATTCAGCTGTGCTTTCAGCTTTTGGCTGCTGTTAACTTACACGAGACACTCTTGTTCTTTGGAATATATGCATTAGGAATAGTCAAAGCCTGGTAAAGGCAGGTGATTCTCCAATATGAATTCATTCTCACAACATTTTGTCAAGTTTCAAGGACAAAAGCTTCATGTCTACTTCTCCTCCTTGCTACAAAATCTCTCCCCTCTTTGGTATAACATCCAGTCATTTCAGTGTATAACACAGAAGGAGCAGACCACCATCCTCTCAGCTCACCAGGATTTTCTAGTTTTAATCCTCTCTCTGCCTAAAATTTCTTAAACCCCAGGAGCATGAACCTTCTCAGCTATTTTATGTCCTTGTCACTTTAATTCATAGTTCTTACCAACAGACACAGGAGCTATGACTCAAAAGCCACTTTGTTCTCCATTATAGGCACTCACAGATACTTTTAAAAGGACATATTAGACATCTGATACACCATCTTAAAAGTGAAAAAAGAAAATGCTTAAGCAAGTCCCCATACAAATTTGTATAATGTTTTCAGAGCCTGTAAAAACAAAGTGAAGCCAGTCAAGTTACTTCCCGAGGAAACCTTTTGCTGGCCACACATAACACATGACTTATAAAGTACCCCCAAAATAAAAATGGACCAGCTGTTGGTTAACACTATGCATTATGGAGGGAGACAAAAGAAGAGGTTGGCATTGAAAAAGTTAGAGTACTTTCGATGTCGTGTTACCTGATGTGGTATTGCATCTTAGTTAAGGTTGTCTTACTGCAAGCAGCTTATCCCAGTCTGATTAACATAAAGAACAAATGCTAAAGAGTAAGGTCAACTTTTAGGAGTCTAGGTAGGAGAGCCTGAAAGATGATTGTTTCACACCCATTTTCAAGTTTTCTTTCTTTCTAGCAAGAGAGCTTCTGTTTCATGTGTTTCAGGCAAAGTACCCATGTTTTTGCTAGGGAAATGCAGAGTATACCTTTCTTTAGTATGAAAAGTAAATTGTTTGAAATGCTGATTTATTTTGAATTTTTTAATTTTAATTTTTATTTATGTGCATGTGTAGGTTCCTATTTTTGGTATGGTACCACATGTAGTGGAGGGAAGAAGAAGGAGGAGGAGGAGGAAGAGGAAGAGGAAGAGGAGGAAGAAGAAAAGGAGGAGGAGGAGGAGGAAGAGGAGGAGGAGGAGGAGGAGGAGGAGTCAGATCCCTGGAACTGAAGGTATAAGAAATTGTGAGCCACTCCCATATGGGTGCTAGAAACTGGACTTGGGTCCTCTACAAGAGCAACACATGTTCTTAAACACTTAGTCATATTTCCAGCCCTAATATACAGTTTCCTTTAATTATTTTGCATAAAATCCTTTGTTTAACTGTCACTGAGATGTTGGGAACCTGCCTACCACCACATGCCTCAGTTGTAATTTCTATATCACCCAATCATTAGAAAAATACAGTATAAAATGGTAATGCCTAACGTTGTCCTTTGAACCAAGGCCACCCTGGCTTCCCTGACAGGATTCCACCGGGATGTGTGGGATATATACACAGTTCAGGGTGTTGTCTTGCGTGTTGCGCTATCTACCCCAGATTTTTGTCTGTAAACTGAAAGCTGATGCTCTGTCAATGATAGACTCTCATTCAAAGACACACATATAAATCAAGATATGAAGTTCTAACTCACCAGTCTTTATATCCTCTCCCTGTTAAATAGGCTACAGTGAGCATTATGTTTCGACAGAAGTAACAACTGAATGATTTACCTCGAGAAATACAAGTGTCAGGGAGTAGAAGGGGTTTCTGCCTGTCTTACCTGTTCATTCTCTTCGTACAGACCAGCTTCTGCTTGAAGTGACAACTTCAGAAGATTGCTTGATAAATCTAGAATCAGAACAAAGACATTAGTTTATCTTAAGAAGTGACTTTTAGCTGAGGAAGTCTGAAGTATTCTCATACATTACAGGGATGAATTTGCTAAGGATGAAGTGTTCTCTTCACCTTAGCCAGAATTTCCTCTTCCAGTCAGTGCTTGGGTCAGAACTATCAACAGTTTCCTCTGATGCCCTTTTTTTGCACACAAATAAGTCTCTTTGTTGCACCTGTCCTATAAATACAGAGGCAGATAGTTGATTTGGTTTACTTTACTAAGTTCAAAATAGTGTCTCAATTCTGCTTTTTAGAAGCTACACTGACATAAAATGTCCTGAAAATTAGCTTGTTCCTAAGCTCTCTGGACTATTGATGTCCTCCCATGTTTTCTGTGGATTTTTGAAAGTTCTACTCAGATAGCAACCTAGTATCTAAACTACTAGGAAATGTCTCACCGAGAAGCTCATGTTTTGGAAAGCTGCATCACACCTTGCATTACATTATTTGTTTTTGTACTATGTATTAAGTTAACCTTGTGTGGCAGTCGGTGTCTGAAACCAAACCTGGCTGACTTTGACAATGAGAGAATGCAATTACTTTATTCCCTTTTCTATTTCTGAAAGTTAAAATTGCAAGTGAATTATTGTGTTCATCCAGCTAATCAGTGTGATGCTTTCCCACTAATTACTGGATGCCAAGTTCAGTCAAGTTTGCCTTGGTCTTTGTGCTCCTGTAGTACTATTTCATTTGCAGGTGCTGTTCTCTATTTGTACCCCACTATGTTTCATAATGTTCTTTGCATATCACTTGTGTATCAGCGTGTGTACCTTTTTTTTTTAAACATACACACTTGATTTCCCTTGAATCTTTTCTGTTACTGGCTTTGGAGAGCCCAAGCCTCCTCCTGGTTAACTTGTGCCCTTTAGTGCCTGTTGCTTAGTCAGTGGATTTACATATTCTCAGGCTGGCGGATTAGTTCATTCACCGGTGTGCTATGTTCATTCAGTTGTGTTATGTGATAGGCACTAGAAGACGTTACCGTTCCGGTGAGGAAAGTGGGTAACACTTTCCAACAAGTGAGAAACGTGGGACTTCTAGAGACCATTACCCAACGTGGATCTCCAACCTCGACCCTTATTTTCCCCTCGATGGAAATATCATTATTGTATTTCCCCCCTAAAGAAAGAGAATGCAGGCTGGGAGCAGGGGAAACCAAGGCGAAAATTTTAAAAAAAGTATTATGAAAGAAAAAGATACACTTTCCTTCCAGGTTTACTTTTCTGGTGACTTACTCATTTCGGGTCTAGAACTATATTTCAGAGAAAGTGGTAGATACTCGTAGCTGGGAGGATGGGAGGTGGAGGGAGAAGCTGCTATCCCAGGAGTCTAGGGAAGAAAG